AGAAAAATTCTTGGAAAGTTTTCCACAGCATCACTCTGCTTTTCATTTTGGTAAAATAATTTACTCCCTTGAGACGACTGCTGACTTAAGGCAGAGAGAGCAGCCAAGTAAGACTAATGATTGGACCAAAAATGATGGAGATGCTTTGGATATGAAGTTCATAAGAGAAAAGAGTGCTATTTCCCCGGTTGATTGGCTTGTCTCAAACAATATAGTTGTTCTTCTGATTATCTCTAACAACCATACTGTCTGAATATTGCTTACTCCCCTCAGATTCCTCTAACAGCGTTGACTTGCTGTGATTTTTAATTTCCCATTGCAGCCAAGGACACTGTCTTGTTCTAGGAAAAATACCTTACTTTTTCTGTGGTGCTACAAAGCCAACAGGAATAAGGAAGGTAGTAGATCCTCTACCACTTGAAATCTTTACATTGGGCAAAGACATATATTTTAAAGACCTGTTTTATCCTGGGCTTACGTGGCTTTACGACTTCACGTTGAGTCATAACTCTACCGTGGGTTGCATAATATGGCACACCCATGTTGAGAAGTGACTCATGGCAGGCCAGCAGCAGGGATACGTGACGGGGCTGGGCTAAGACACACATACGCACACTCCTGGTTGAATCACCACACTGTAGTTTCTGTCCAGCTTTGGAGACAGCAGGGAGAATCTCTGGCACTTTGCACCAGTATAAGTTGCTGGTGTTAAAGCAAAAGGATGGGACACAGGCACATGTAGCAGGAACTCATGACTCTACTAAATCAACAAGTCAAACAAAAATCTGTTGAAAAAACAAAGTAAGGCCCAGACTATGTGAGAAGACAGGTAAAATAATCTCTTCTAGCAGTGAAATCTGCAAATCATGGTGGCAGGTCTAATGGCTTTTAGCTGGAGAGGATCTCACTGTGTATGCAGGTGTAGTGCACTTGTCTGCCTATTTGCAAGCACATATAATGCAACAAAAATTCAAGAGAACACTGTCGTACAAAACAAGAACAGCATGGGTTATCAAGAAGTACTAGTGAAGTGGGAATATTCAGTTAATATGTGCTGGAAAACAGGAAAAAAAAGTCCATTACCTAGAAAATGACCTTGTAACTTTCTCCTACATTTTTCAGGCTTGGCCCATGCTGCTACACACCTGTCTCTGGAGAAACCTCTTACAACTGATATGTTTACAAGATGTTTCCTGTAAACACTAAATAGTTCTACAAAACTAACTTCTCATGGGGCAAGAAGACAGGCTCCACTCAGAATCAATATACAGCTGAAAGGTAGGAGGAGACAAAAAGGTAGAGCTGATGGTCAACCTTCATGAAGGAGAGAGGTTACTAGTGCGCGCTTAGTACCATCTCTGGGCCTGTGTTGTTCAAAGCTGTCATTGATGACAAGGGAAGAGAAGTGACAAAGTTTGTATGATCCTATTTCAAGTCACAAAGTAAACCAGCTGATGGTACTGAAAAATGCAGAGTAATATACGGGGAGGGGGAAATAATCCTAATTATCTGTAACAGAACAATTATTTACTACCACTTTGGAAATAGTTTTTGAAACCAGTGTAGATAGTGCTCAGCACTTTTCAATAAGGCAAGTAAAATATTGGGAATTATTAGGAGTAAGAACAAAATGGAAAAAATCATTATGTTGTTGTATATACTATATCCACATGCTGAATAATGATGACAGTTCTATTAATTCAACCCCCCAAAAGGATGTGGAATTATTTGAAAAATTATAAAGAACATCAAGAAGGATCAGCAACATGGAAAGGCGTTCATCTTACATGAGATTAAATACAAGTAGGGATTTTCAGCTTGAAAGTAAAATGAGCGATGGGAGAGCTATGGGCATGAACATGATGGAGAAAGGAGAAGATGGAATAATTACTTGCTCCAATAAGTGCCAGGAGAGAAACCAGGGGATCAACCAATAGTTTTCATTGATTATACTGTTTTCTGGATGCCTGCTCTTGGTCACTGGGGAGGCAAAATGTCAGGTTAAGTTGATTGTTTGATCAGATCCGGTACATCTACTATGGTGTTCTCAAGCTATGCTTTTTAAATCTTGTGTTGCATAATTCCTCTGGCTGCCTTGATGTAAAACTGTACATGTGGGGGGACAGTTTCAGTACAGTGAGATGCCAAGGAAGGTCAAATTAGAATAGTCAGTTTTAAGGCAGAATCTCATGGCTTTTGGGGAGCACTGTGGGTAAATGCAGAAAGTGGAATATGAATTATTAGCCCAATGATGAACCTAATCAGTGATATGAAATACGTATGAGCAATATTTCCATGTCTGTCTTGTGTGCTTGTAAAGGACTATTTTGGTTTTGTTTTTTTGTTTTGTTTTTTTTTTTTTTAAGTCTCATTTTGTGGAAGCAGAATGACCAAAAATCACCATCTCCATAATTTTCATGTTTCTTGCTCTGCGCTGCTGCCCCTGTAAGGACATAATCAGTCACTTAGGCCTGATGCTGCCCAGCTCATTTTCATACTTTGGCAGCATCACTGTTCCCTTAATTGTCATGGTAACAGATGGTTTTGAGTACTGACTTACCTAGAATGATTTTAACATTACATGACAAGGAAGGGCCATGAAAGAGATAGTGATGAAAGCATACTGTGTTTTGATAATCTCCTACTGTGTTCCTGGGGACCAGTACTTGGGTACACGACACTTTCTTTTCAAATAGCAGAATTAAAAAAAAAAAAAAAAATTGTACTTCCTTGAAAAAAAAGGGTTATAAGAAAATAAGGAATTACAGATTTTTGTTCATCTTTCTCAGATGTATAGTTGATCTGCTTCTTATAAGTTAGGGGCTATGAATCAAAACAGACTTAGAAAAGAATTTCTAACACGTGATTTCATCATCATCATCATCCCTTTGGTTTGAAAAGTTCCAAACATATTCGATCAAACATAAACTATCAGTAATAACAATCACATTATGCAGAGCAAAGGCCTACATTATTTGTGCAAAGGCAATGGTGTTCCAATGATTAAGAAATCTGGAATATGTGTGTGATATAACTGAAAGCATGTTCTTAACAATAAAAACAGAAAATAAGCACTTTTATTCTATACTGCTAAATAACTGAAATATTTGCCAAATTTGTTAACATACTAGTTACATTCTCTCTTAAAATGTTTATCTCAGATTTTCCATAAAAGTCTATCCTTTTTACTGTAGTATTCAGCATCATGTTGGCCAACAAAATGAAGATCTTAGGAAAAGCAGTATGCCTTAATATAAGCACATATGCCATCGTATGCACAGAGCAACAGTGCTCTTTAGATACTACATTTTTCTGAGAATTCTCCAATGTCTTTTGATCCAATTCAGACAGATTTAAATTTCATTAATGTCATTATCAATTTAGGAATCTAGCCCTTTCAATCTTAACTTGTTTTTCTAACTATCAGAGTTTGTTTTTGAAAAGAGCATCCTTTACGGATGTTAAATACAGCTAATCTGTTTGGGAAAATGTTTTGACATGTTATTGCCTGCTGAATATATAGCTCCTTGAGGAGAAAGCAGTATAGGGGTTTTTTGACTAACCAAAGATTCTGTTACAGATAAACAGTGATTATTCTAAAGAAAAGTTAATCTTTTAATAATAACACCAACACCAAAAAAAATCCCTCAGAAGAGCAAAGGGCTTGGACTCCAGTTATCTGTCCCTGGAGTGATAAAAATAAGATCTTCTTGGCATCATTTCCACTGTGCAAATCAATTTATCTAGCTACAGGTTCTACCAAATGAGCCCTAGCAGAGCTTGCTGTAATGGTTTAAGGTGCCATTAGCTATTTATTCATCCTTACACCAGGGATGGGAGAATGTAGTAGGGGACCAGACCTGACACATCTCACAGTCTGATAAAGTATCTCAGCCTCACCTTCAGAAGCTAATGGATGAAAATGTGAATTGCAAGGGCTGGAAATAGCTTCTCATACCAACTCTGCTTTAGGGGCAGTCACGCCTGATAAGGAGGTGGGAGAGACAGCCGGGAATGGCAATGCTTTAAGCTGCGCCAGTGAGAATTTTCTGGAGACGCTTGGTGTGAGCCTTGCCTCCAACTGGCGGGTTGGTGGCAGCCTCGTTGCTTTGTAGGAGTTAACGCAGCTGTCGGGTTTAGTGCCTGCATCCTTGAGAGAAGATGTAAACGTTTCAGTGAGGTGAGGAGGAAGCAAGAGAGACAACAGCAGTGGCTAATACCAAGATAAAAGACAGAAGAAAAGAAATTGCCTTCTCTCCACAGTGTAGAACGTGAAGATGTGGCACTGAATGAAAGATGATGTAAACCACAGCATGACTTTATCGAAGTTATACGATACTAGCCTAGCTCATTCACTTTCTCCGGAGAGACAGCTGTCTTTCTAGGAGGAAACGAATGTGGAGGGGCATAGGAATGTGGCATAGCGTCACCCCGGGGAAACCAGCAGAGATGGAGAATCGTGGTACGGTGAGAGAAAGCGACCGAAGCAAATGAGCGTATTGTGTTGAGGGCAGACCTCCAGGAAGAGAGGGAGTTACCGAAGGGCTGGCCTTGGAGGGCATTTTACCACACAGAGCTTGTCGCGCAAAGAACGAGGTGTGCTGGCCAAATCCGCAGACGGCACGAAGTTGGGAGTCGCTGGCGCGGAAAGGAGCGAGGCTGCTCACGGCGGGAAGAGCGACACGCGCCTTCCACCGGGAACGCAGGGCCGGGCCCTCGCCGGCGGCCGCGGCAGCGCCGGGCCTGGCGCCAGAGGCGGGCTGCCCGCGGGACGCCGCCGCCCCGGAGAGCGGGGCCCCGGCCCGGCAGCGCCGCCACGGCCCAAAATGGCGGGAGACCAACTCCCGGGGCGGGCCGGGCCGGGGCGGGCGGGGCGAGGCGGGGCGGGGTGAGGCGAAGCCCCGGCAGAGGCCGCGTAACCACCGCCCGCCCCTCGCCCTGCCCCCGCGCTGCCACAGGCGGCTCCAGGCAGCGGCGGCGGCGGCGGGTGAGTGGCGGGAGCGGGGAGCGGGCCGGGGGTGCTGCTCCGGGGAGAGGGAGAGGCGCTGCCCGGGCGGCCCCTGGCAGCGGCGGGTCGCTGCTCCTCGCCCGGGTGGGGCCCGTTTGCCGGTGCGCCCTGCGGCGGGAGCCCCGGCCCGGCCGTGCCCCGGCGGAGCGGGGGAGGGGGCTGTGTGTGAGCTGCCGGGGGTGCCTCGGTGGGAAGGGGACCGCGCTCTGCCTCCAAAGGCGGGAGCCATCTTCTCCGGTATCTGCAGTCTCCGCAACGGGAGCGGCCGGTGCGGTGGGTTACGGGGTTGTGTTTGTGCTAAATAATGTTGGGTGAATTTCCGGCAAATAAAAGTTTCGTTTCCCTACTGCGTGTTGAAACATCATGCCGGCTGCCAGCAATGTGTTGGCATCAGAAATACTAGAGTGTAGTAGTTGGTGTGCACTTTCGATAGTTGGTGTGTTGAGTATATGACAATATAAATTACCTGAAAATACCTAGAATCCCTTCTTCCTTATGCAGTTCTTTGATTGCAAGTGTTGCGTAATGGTGTGGATTTTAAAAAACATTTCTAACTTGCTATTTAAATTGTCAGTGTATGAGGGAAAAGAATTATAAGTTAACGTGAATTTAAAGTAAAAAAAACCTTTAAGGTTTAAAAGAATTTGAAAGTTAGAGAAGCTAATTATGCCATTGTAATGACCAATATTAAAATTGTCAGTTTGACAAATTAGTAATGATAGTGTAAGCATTTTGGTAGATGGGTCATATCTTCCTCGGTGGCTTGTGACAATACACTTAGCGCTCTGCTAAACAAAATCTAAAAGTTTGTAGAATTCACCAAAGGCCCTTAAACCCATGCCACCGTGCCCTTCTGAGGCAGCTTCGCTGCGGGGAGGCCAGGACAGTGCATCCTGCCCCAACGCTCCAGGTTATCCGGTTAATATCCCCTTGAGCGATTTTTCTCGCCTTGTGTGAGGGGTGAAACTATGGTTTGGATGGGGCTTTGCCTGGAACCCATGCTGATAGCAAGCTTTTTTGCTTGTGAATTTGGGATCTGAAAATTGGACTCTGTTACAAAGTTCTTTTTTTTGCCTCTTGGGTGAATCAAGAGAGGTCAGGAGGTGGAACTATGTCACTCTTACCTATTTTAACTCAATAAAAAAAAGAAGGGGAAGGTTTTCTCTTAGGAAGAGTTTATGATACATCCAGATGACAGGTTTTTTTAACCCCACTTACTTATCAGATCTGTGCAGAAATCGTGACTTTTTTTTGATCAACAGGGAGGGTTTCAGTGCTCAAGGAGCCCCTTTTGGACAGCGCTCGGCTCCAGAAGCTCTCTCTGTAGCTTCTGGTCCAGACTGCATTGTTAGCACCTGGGGAAGCTGCATTGGAGACTTTGCTTTGTCCGTGGGGCCCAGTTTCTTGCACTTACCTTGGCGCCAGTTTTTGCTTAAGGAGTTCCACCTCTAAAGGTGTCACTGTGTTGATGCCGCTTTGGGTAGCGTGGATCCCAAAACACCTTTCAGGTGCCTGCAGTTACTAACAGTGGATGTTTTGTAGCCAAATAATGTTTTCTGTGACTGTAGTGTTGCCGTCTACCAAGTTGCATATGTCTAAACGGTTGCAAGGCATTGCTGCACATTGGTGAGAATTGCCCTGTTCCACAGCAAAGAGGTGCGCAGGGTAGTTTTGGTGGTACAGTGGTTCCTTGGGATGGCTATGAATGGAAATAAATGTTGGCCACACTGGGACACTTGCACAGTTTGTCTCTAGGTGGGTTTTGCTCTCGGTAGTGGGCGTGCAGTAGGCTGCTGTCCCGTCAGGCACGGCGTGCATAGACCTGCGGTAACCAGCTGAGTGTCTGCAATTTGCCAAGGTAAGTGGAAAGCTGTGGTGTGGTTTAAAAAAAAAAACCCAAATCTATCATATATCCCATATGCCAGAGATGAATTTAAAGGAAGATGCTCCATTTTTATTGAGGGCATTGATAGAAAGTTGCAAAGCCTCTGAAGACCTGTGACGTTACCAGGATGCTCTGATTTCTGTGGCAGTTTAAGTTTATTCTTTAAAACAAACACTGCCCCCACCCTCACCTTCCCACGTTTTTCGTATTTTGAGATTAGCTTCTTCTGTTTAGAATGTACCCAGGTTGTAGTTTCTGTTCACTTCCCCTCAGCTGTGGAGGTGTGGAGGCTCTTTATCCGTTCAAGACTGAAATCTCAGATTATCCCGTAGCCATGTGTCTCCAGGCTACTGGGATTTACAAAGTGCTGTGACATTCTTGATGAACTGAGAACGGGCCAGGGTGGCACAGAGGATTTACAGGTCTCCTATTAACTTTGTCAAAATTTATTTTACTTTTTAGACCACAATGAATGTGGAACATGAAATTAGCCTCTTAGTTGAGGAGATTCGGCGGTTGGGAACCAAAAGTAAGTACTGTAGTATCTCTGACTGTACAGATGTAGTCATGTTATACATACATGTCATATAGATGTACTCATGGTATATCAATGTATGAACTTGGCAAATTTAATTAAGCAGGCTCAAGTAACCTGAAAACTTGCATATATGCTTCGTATTGGACTGTATGGTACTCCCTGCATCCCATCCTTTAAAGTAGTTCTGTTACAAAGTTAAACGTTTAATCCTCTGCAGCACAGAGGATGTAGGCCTGAAATCCTGCTCCCACTAAAATCAACTGCAAAATTACCCTTTTCTTTAGACTTTCAGTACTCACTACGACCATCAAAGAAGGAAGTTATACCTTCCACCTTCTTCCTTGGTAACTTGTGAACTTGAGAATTCATACACGTCAGTTCTGTTCATCATATTTGGAAAGAATTGATCTGTATGCCTAAAGTAATTCAAGAGTTATGAGTGTAGTCCCAGCCTTCCTTAAACTTGCTTAGAAGGTAGCCTTTTTTCGTAAGGCTACTTTTCATTGTTAAAACTTCTGTTTCTTTATGAATATTTATGCAATTTGTGGATGTGCTACCTGCTCGTATGTTTCATTTCTCGTGCAATTTTGTTCAGTTCCATTTGGTTTTCATAACCTAAATGGATATGAATGTCTTGCATTTTGTATGACTACATCTGCCTTTTAGGAATAACCTAACTAATCTTAACAAATATTTTAAAATTCTTGCTTTGTATGAGAAATTCATTCACATCACAGCTTTTTCAATGTGAACCATAAATATTAATAAGTGGAAAAAAAAAATTGAAAAAAAAATTTCAACATTTTGATTATTTAATTACATTTCCTCCTTATGCTTTGAAGAGATTCAATAGCCTGTGCTGGTCATAGGTTTCAGGAAGTCATCAGTAAAAATAAACATAGCAGATACGTGGTCTTGATATGAGTCTCTGGAAAAAAATGGAAAGTCATGCCAGGCTGGAGATCTGCCTACTGTTTATCATCAGCATTCATAATAAGTTTCCCAATAAATTAGGAAACACCATGGGATTTACTTTCAGCGTTCTGACTGTGTGTCACTTTGTTTCCCCAGTAATCTCCTAAATGAAAGAAAATCTGCATGTGTTTTCATGTTATATCTTTGATTTAGATGCTGATGGACAAGTGAGTGTGAAATTTGGCGTGCTCTTTGCTGATGAAAAGTGTGCCAACCTCTTTGAAGCCCTAGTGGGAACTCTTAAGGCTGCAAAACGGCGGAAGATTGTCACTTACCAAGGGGAACTACTTTTACAAGGTGTTCATGACAACATTGATATCGTGCTGCTACAGGACTGATGAAGTGTTTCAGCTATGCATTAATGGAATTGTTTGAGACAGTGACTTGAAACATCCTCTCAATAAGGCTGATCATTCTAAGGTGTTTTGATGTATTTTCTATATCTTTATAGTCAAAAGGAAACTGTACTATTTTGGAAAACATTCCCTTTTGTAATTCATCTGAAAATGGTACTGTATGTGAACAAGATAAAAGATGCCAGATCTCTCTCTCTTTTTTTTTTTTTTTTTTTTTTTAAAAAAAAAAAATCTCAGGTAACGCTCTTAAATGTCTGGTGGTTATTTTCAACATATGAAGAAGGGGACTGGGAACTTAATGTTTACAAATCAAAATGTGCCATGACAGTATAAAATAAAAGCACATACTTAAATTTATGTAATTCTTATTGCTGTTGTTTCTTTTGTTATTTGTAATCTGAAATGAAAGCAAACTGAATTCTTGTAAGGAACATAGTTAAGCAACTGTACAGAAAGCGTGACAGTGATATAGAGATGGTTTTGCAGCATGATTCAATTGAAAAATGACCGTCCTTCGGAGTGACCAGATTGTGCACAAAAAGCCACGAATGATAGATGTACCTCTTTCATCTCTGGCAGTGTAATATGCTTTCATTTTTTTGTCCCCACGACTTTTGAAGGAAGTGAGTGAGGAGCTCCCTGAATGCTTTCATGCAGTGTTAACTAGAAGTTGGTATAGCAGCTTCAGGTTTTGATTATTTTCCTCACAGAAATCACACTTTCTCTAAATCACTCCAGGTAGAAAGTGGGAGGGGAGGGAAAAGCCCTTTTTATTGTTTTCTAGCTTACTGCTAATTCTTAGCAGGTAAAAATGCTCCCTCTTGTAGGGAGAAAGAGTTCCTGCGTGAGGAAAGCAGCAGTGGGTAGGTAAACTGCTTACTGCTCTGTTCTTCTACTCTACAGCTGCAGCTCTTAAAGTTGCAGGATGGGTGAATTTCCCTTTACTTAGCAGCCTTTTACAAGTGCAGAATGCTTGAAAAGTGTCTCCTTATTTCCAGATACAGGAAATGCACGCCTGGTTATGGAATCCCCACAAAGCTGTGTAATTCCAGCTGCTGCCCCTTTCATCTTTCTTTGCTCTGCTTTGCGCAACAGGAAAACAACTTAAATCCTGTGTGCAAACAGATCTGGGCTGCCTCTGCCTGTGCTGGCCTCAGAATCTGGAGAGCAGGGAAGTGATACACAGAGAAACTTGAGCTGTCTGGGTCCAAGCCAGCTGGAGCAGACAAGCAGAGCAGGAGCTCAGCACTGCTTACTGGTTCCAGTGCCCTGCCACTCCAACGCAGCTCTTCTGCTTCCAGACCCGAGCTGACAAGTGCAAGCACCCCTGCGCTCCGCAGGTGGAAAGAAGGGGGACTGAGACCCGGGCTGCCTGCGTTAGGGGTGAGATCAGACAGCTCTGCGTTACCAGATAACCACAGTTGTTTTTTCCGCTGCCTCTATTTTGGTGACAGCCTGAGTCATTGTCTGGGTTCACAGGATAGCCTGAGTATGCTGACGGATACCGAGTGCTTTTTTGTGATTGTCTGAGATGCCAGTTTTGGTACCGGAGGGCACCAGCCTGCCCCAGCCAGGGAACAGTTCTCTGTGTGTTCATGACAGCTCTTTAAGCACTGAAGGGGCTTCAGTCTTGAACATTTAGGTTTTTTTTTTTTTTTTAAAAAAAAAAAGCCTACAAGAAAACCCAGTAAATTTAAGGCTCAAGGCTGAGTTGAAACTAAGATGGGATAATGAAGAGACCATTGCGTGTGTCTCATTTTGTTTATTCTCTTAACAATGTTAATAAATGTATTCAGGGCTTCTGGGAACACCATCAAGAAAGAGACAGAGAAGCTTGTCACTAAAACACATCTGTAAGAACCAGAGGAGGATGTGACTGTGTACTGCCCTAGGGGCGTCAAGATTGGTTTTCCCCCTGTTTCTGAAAGCAGAGGAGAAACAACATGAACAAGGATGTATATCCAAGAACTTGCCCTCAGTGCAACACTCCATGTATCTGCTGTCCCCAGAATTGTGTAAGCTTCACTTCAGGTTATATATGAGCACTGTTGACTTCGTTTCTAAATTTTTTTTTTTCAGAGAAAATCAAATACTAACATTGCTTCACATGCACAGGACCACACCTCTGTTAAGGAAATAATTACCACAGCAGATGGCCTGGGCACAACGCAGTTCCTGGAGCACTTGACACAATAACAGAAAAGTTAACTATGGGGAAGGCATTACCTGTTTTTTGTAAACAGCAGGACAATCAGCAGTCCCCTGTGATAGGTTCATGACCTGGCCAGCCATGGGTCTGAAGAAAGTTTGTAGATCAGCCAGGAGCACCAGTGATTCCAAAATAGCAAGTCATTCTCCTGACTGCTGGGAAGTAGGAAGATACAGAGATCTTTGACAACAGCATAAAAGAGTAGGGCTGTTACCTGCCTGTGATAATGCTGGGAAATTAGTGAAAGAGTAGCTTAGTTAATTCGGTCTCTATCTATGTAAGGTCCAAAAGCACGGTGGAACTTCGAAGAGAGGTTATATGAGCTCCAGAAATCTAGCTGGTACAATTTCAGATATTACCACTGTATGTCTTCTACAGGGACTGTTAGAGTGGCTGGTGGAGTGGGGTGTATGCACTCACCTCACCTCAGCTGTTTCCATGCAAAATCCAGTGACTGGAGATAAACATGCTTTTCAAAGCAGTTTTGACTAAGCTGTAAAGGTGCTGAGGTGCAGGTTTGCATAACCTCTGTCAAGGGTTGGTAACATCTTAAACTTTGCAGCTGTTTCCCTTGTGAACCTGGGTTTTTGCTGGGAAGTTCAGCAAAGAAAGAGTTGAAATTTATGTGATACTATCTTTTACATGCCCCTCTCATGCTGGAATGAATTTTGAAAACGCATGTTGTGTTTTGCTCGTTTCTCATCTCCCTTCCAAAGATTTGCTGGAGGTGTTCTTTTCACTTCAAGGAATTTCTCTCAGTGACAGCAATGTCACTTTTGCCATTCATATCTGTGTAAATCTGGTTATCTTTACTTACTTTCTTTGCCACAAAAAAACGCTTGAAGGAAAGAACAAGAGTAAAAGGAGCAGAAAGTTCTTATATGCTGAAAACATTGTACTGCCACTGGTACTTAGCAGTTTTATTTAAAAATATTTGGATGTTTCAGAAATAGCCTGAGATTCTCTTCTACTCCAGCAGCACAAAGTGACTATTAAGCATGTTTAAGCAGTTGCAGAGCCTTTGATAAGATGACACAGCATGAACTAATGAATGCTACAGGACTGGCCTTAGGGCTCCATATCAAAACACTAACCATTAACGATATCTTTGTATCACCTCCACCTAGTATAAGAGAACATTTCTAAACTGTTGGTCTACACCCTGCAGCATAATTCATGTTTGGTATTGCCTGAAAATCCTCTGCCTGATAATTGTATGATAGGAAACATGGTTTCAAGGACTTAAAAAAGGCAAAAAAGCCCAACATGTATTTCTTTTGGAAGCTGGCAAAGTCAATAATTTTGCAAAATTAATGTTCTTGTTCATGTCCTTTTCAAGCAAATATGGGACATTTGATCTATAATGGATTTTTTTTTTTATTGTTTGTAAGAAATTGATTCATTCTAAAGCCAGACATGAAGGGTAGAACAAAGAGATTTGAAGGAAGATGAACCCCTAGACCAAAAAATATGTTGCAGTGCTCTGACATCTACTTGGGACAGGTGATCTGGCTAGGTTGAAGAATATGAATTTGTTGACCTGGTGACATATTTAAGCCTGAATACTTTTCAGGACAAAAGTTAGTATGACATACTTTGTTTTTAAAAGCAAAAGTTGATGATATATGCCGAAATACTCTGGTTTGGTTTTGTTTTTTGTTTTTGTTTTTTTCTGCTTCCCTACAGACCAGTCAACTTTTTACTTTGAAAACTGTCCATTAAGCTTATGAAAAATACCGAAACTGTCCCCTTTCATGCATTTATTATGTACCAGAGAAAGGGACAAGGACAAAAGAGAACTGCTTAGTGCTCTCTAATACCTGCAGATAGGATCCAATTCAAGACTGTTAATGTTACAGGTGACACTAAAAACCAATGGTCTGCCTTTTCTCTGAGGTTCAGAACTCATGCCAACTTAAATCTCCTTGATTTTTTTTTTTTTAATTTTCATTTGATTTTCAAGGCAAGCGATCTTCACCATCTTGATCTGAAATGGCATTCTCAAAGAAAATCAATAGCAGGTTGGAGAATTGCTCTGGTGCAATGATTTAAAGGAATCTGTATGGTCAATATTCCCAGGCACTCCTTTTCTAAAAAAAAAAAAGCAGCAGAATGGGTTAGTTAAGGATAAGTGCTTGACAGTGTTTCTAGAAAACTGATGTATTTAAGATCTAGTTACATAAACAGCTTAATGTGAAATTGTTCTAATAACGTTTTCCTGAGGGTGGCAGATCAGTTTAGTTCTGCCACTCTGAGTACAGCTTTAGCCACAGATATGCTGTAGAAACATATTTAAGCAGCTGAAGCTAGTCTTCTGGCAAGTATTTTGAATTAGAACACCAGAAGAGGCATTATCTTGTGGTGTAGCCTAGATGTCATCACAAATTATGCTTATCTCCACCAGAGCACCTGAGTGACTCGGGAGGTTAAATACCAGGCTGGTACCTGGGGAGAGAGTAGTGCCATCTACAGACACCCTCCAGAGTCTTGTCAGATCAGATCCAGATCAAAATTCCTTTCAGAGAAATGCTTACAGTCAGACCTGAGCATTTTCCAGTACAGCATTTTCACGGATACAGCAGCATTATCCATGACCTTGCCCCTTTTTTGGAGCTTATTCCTGCATAAACACTGTAAGTTAAGTGACACTAAGAGTCTTACGGCCACTTTGCCATGCTTAAAGCTGTCCTCCAGAGAAGACGATAGTGTGTACCATGTATTTGTATATGCATATTATGCATACGTTCTGTTACAACATGTATTCAAAACCTGACTATTTTTTCCCAATGGGTTAACACTCAATAAATGACAGTTATGTTTGGATGGGAGTATAGTATTCTGCAGTTTCTGGTCTTTGCTAAGTCTTCTAAATGCCACAGAAGATCACATTAGAATAACTGAGAGTTTGTATCTTGCAGAATTAGGTCTTTTGTGAAGCTTTGGTGATAAAAGACATATTATTGCCAGGTCGTTATTAGTCAAGAGGCCTTGGTCTGTCTCTGCAGCTAATGTTCTAAAAAGCTTCCTTTATACTGTTGTATTTTGGAGCACAGTATGATTTACTCAGAACTCTGCTTTCAGTTTTCTGAGGAAAAAAAAAAAAAGACATAAAGGCAACAGCAGTTGAAGGCGCTCACCACCATTCAGC